CAGCACAAATCAATTACAGTGTACTGATTTAAGCCAAGCCAAAGTGGATCTTAATTAAATGGACAATAAGCAAAGGGAAAGGGTAGCCTAAAAATCAGAAAAAAAAAAAAAAAACCTTCAACAGTCAGAGAAACAGAGGAAGAGTAGCAGTGCAACGGCTGATGCACCATCCTATCGAATATTCAAGTATATGAAGCCTAATTGCTCAAACTGTAGAGTTTTCTTGTTTTCTTTTCCCTCTATATGTTTTGGTGCAAAAAAGGGTACATAAATATGTTATTAGAAACATTCACTTGAAGGTTTCAACTCTGTATGTGCAGTTTATTAATGAGTTAAGAGTTTAATACCTGATCCAGATCCTGCTGTGAAAAGGCTCCAATTGATTTCAATCCAATTTAGGTAAGGCCCCAGGACAATTAAAAACCATTTTAGTTTATCTGCAAAATGGATACTGTAGACACTGATAATCTTAAAACTGTACCTTCTAGCCATGAATATCTTGCCCAACAAATGAACTCATCTATCACAGCTCTATTCAGAGTTATAAACTACAACCGCAAGGCATACTCTCCAACTTATAGAAAAATAATCTAATCAACAGTTAATGCTCCTACATTCACTATTAGGGTAATAAATATTGTATTTGATCCAATATTACCTGGCTAATATTTAATTTTACCAAAAGAGAAACTTTATATAACACTTTTCAACCACGTACGTTTAAGAACAGTCTTTGACGTGTGCACAGAATAGTCCACTATATCTGAAATCAGTATAGTAACCTACTGCAAATCATTTACAAATAAATAACATTAATCTTCATCAATATATCATCCACAAGGCCACACAAATTACCGAACACTCATATAACATTAAATATTAATGATCAAAGACTAAATCTAGATTGCTAAAATTTGAATAAACACATTATTTCTGTTTAGCCCTTGCTGTTTTTTGTGCTATCAAAATTCTTTATTTGGTTCCACAAAAGAAAGGATGCAGTTCAAAACAGCTACCAAAAGAAACAAAAAAACTCCACTTTTTCCTTTATATTGCCTTTTCAACCACTTAAGAAACAAACTAAGTCTTGACAAAAATAAATTAAACGTTTTTTTTTAAATTTCCAGTGTCCTCCAAGGACTTCAGATCGTATTGCTTAGGAAAAGAGGCTTCACACCATTTTTCAAAAAAATGGATTCGTTCTTCAGTAACCTGCGTATCACTCACTAGCGCTCGTCAGTACGCTGGAATCAAAGAAAAATCGAGGTGGTTGCGTTCAGCATGACCAAAGGTGTTGAATGCTCTTGACATAAAAATCTCAAGTGTCAGAAAGCGTCAAACATTTTGCGAAAGGTGCAAGGATGTTAATTGCAAAATACCACATATGCAAGAACTAAGAGGTTTACATTTAAAAGGAGGTAGAGGAAACCATTAAAATGACAGTTCTAATCTTTCTATGGACTTTCTGCTATATTCCTAATCTAATGCTGAAAATTCATGAAATGTAAGTAAATTACCATAAGACATTTAATAACAAGTCATTTCAAATGCTAGAATGCACTTTCACGATATCTGTCACATGAAAGTAGTGACTGAATAAACTGAAAAAGTGTAAATTAAGCTGGAAATGGAGAAAGAGAATACGGTACACAAGAGTAAGTTTAGGTCTGAATATAGTTAAGTTCTGATTTTAATTCTGCACCCGCCATTGTTGTTCTGATCACTATTTCTGCATCTGTTCTTCCCCGGCTCTCCCACTTGTAACACCGGGTGCAAAATCATCTGTAGGGTTTATCTTGCCCATGTTGAAACAGTTAACTAACATTTCGCTCTTTCCAGGTTTACAGCAGACACTCAAAATTCAGCAGGGAGAAACTCCTTAGGATGCTCAGCTGTTATTTCCGGTGGGGGGGTGGGGGGGGGGGGGGGGGCAGTGGCGTCCTCAAAATCTTGGCAGCCTGCCAAAACAACAACTTCTGGGTTCTACAAAGCCAAATCCACTCTGCTGCCAAAACCGCAGCAGGAAGGTCTGTGCGTGGGAAGATGTGAGCGCGCACAGAACCGCCACCACCCGGAGAGGGGAAACAAATCAGATCAGGTGCTCCCCCCACAGCCCATTCCTACCTCCCTAAGAGCAAGTGGAGTACAGCATCCCAGTTCTACCACTGGGCACCCATGGGGCAACAAGTCTTAACTTTCCAGACGGGACAGAAAAGAAGATTTGGGCCTAGAACGCCTCTGTTTGAACATCCCTGACAGCACGTGGCACCATCAGCTTTCAAGCAGGCCCGAAGTCAGAACGTCACTCCTGTGCTTCCAGCGGGGGAAACGCAAAGGTCCACGTTTCCAGCCCTTCCAGCGGTGGGAGACTGCTACACAAGGGGTGCCTGGTAAGCTGAGCTTTTACTTTTAAGACGACGACAGGAAATTGTTTAAAAGGCACCAGTGTTAAAATAATATTTACATTACAGGGTAAAGTAATTGGAAGCTGGGAAAAAGTAAACTTCAGAAGTGTTTGAGTAGCTGTTGTTCAAACGAAATCATTTCTGCTTTTTTTTTTTTTAAAAGAATGGTTTCAGACAATATATGCAATTACATGATCACATGGTATCATTTCTACAAGATCTTTACTCATTCAGTGATCACTATAAGTTGCATGGACAACCATACAACTTGTATTTTATAGATCTCAAGTTCTTGACTGTATAAAAATACAACCTAAATAGTAATTTATCTATGATTAAAATAATTTTTAGATATACAATTTTTAAAGACAAGTTTTAAATTGTCAGATAATTCTATTCATTAACCTATCAACTAACATAAAAGATACTAAGCTGTTAAAAACTTCCTGATGAGAAAAAAAAACTCAATCAGATATAAATCTATGGTACTGTAGGTCAAATGCATTTAGATATTAGTATGAAACGGTTACCAGGAGACACAGAATTTATGTAAATTATTATATTTTAATGTATTTGTTTTTTGATAACACCGAAACTTCTTAAGTGGGAGTTTTTGGTGGCAGCACTCTTTACATACTGGTTTCCACAAATAAGAAATTGCTGCGGATGCCTGATTGCTTCCTTTGCATTATATCTACTCTGTTTACAAAGGGGCTTTTAATAACGTACAATTGCTCTCAGATAATCCCGTGCAAAGCACCAAATGGACACATTTTTGAAAACGGTTGAGTGCGTATTCGATAACTTAACCAAGACCACAATACTGGCAGGTTTTGAATAGTATGGTCGTGCCTTATCTTTCTGTTTAATTCATCACCTCTCTAAATATACCAGTAAAAACGTGTCTGTGCACCTGGGTAGAGGTAATTGTTAAATAACACTGTCAATTCATACCTTATGTAAACATACTGCAAATACAAAAACAATTTCTGCTTTCAAAATGTTAAATAATAGATCCTCTGATTTTAAAAAGACAAAAACAAAATTATACTTGCAGTGCTCTAGGGGGGATAAAGCATGTTTTGCAACTTCTGTCTTCACACTGGTATTTGAAGTTCAGTTACAGAAGACAATATGTTGTTTTCATAGAGAATCTTAACAATTCAGAACTACAATCATTTTATTGGAAAACATTTCAAACTTCCCCCAGACAACTTAGCCCTGCTTCGTTCCTAGATAAACACCAACCGTTTCTGGAATGAAACAACTGCCCTGTGATACCACAGGAGTATTCACCTTCCCACACCAAAATCTACAGATGCAGAAAGGAAATGAAGCCTTGATCTATTAAAGGCAGTCAGAGTTACAAACATCCTTATACACTATTAGCACTGAACCCATTTCCCATTAAGAGCAGACACATCCTTCAAAGATGATTTTATTGAAATGGCTGATTTGAAGTTTTCACTATTTTACAAGTCTGCGTGTTGCCATAGCTAGGATGCTAGAAGAGAAGCTGCCTGCAAAGTGGTGATTTAATCTGAATCAACCAACTGGCAATTATAAAGAGTAGTGACCCGTTTCAGCAACTCAGTTTTGTCAATAACATCCTGTTAAACTGTTTTCAAGTAGAATAAGGAAAAAAAGGACGTCCAGCTATATGCTAAATCTCATTGTAAGTCAATAGGATTTTACGCTCCAAAATATTTCAGGCAGTTAAATGGGACATTGACATCTTAAATACATTCAGTTTAAGATATTAAAGTAGTAATCGATACATTTTTCTGAAATGGAATTTGTATTCCAAACTTTGTTTCTCGATGATTAGCCAAAAAATTGATTTCAAGGGCTCAGAAATACCCTCAGTACTAGAGCTGGCCATAAAAATAAAACAAATGTAATGAATGTTTATAATAGTTTCTCTCTCTCTCTTTTCTTTTTTTTTTTTTTTAAATTTTCCATCTAGCTCAACAGGAGTATATTAGTCTGAGAATCTCCACAGAACCAAAATACCAAGCACTAATATATGCAAAATGTATGATAAACCAAGCAGAATTAGTGAAAGTTAATTTGGACATGGCTCATAAATATGGTAAGTCATCAGAGTAAATTTTAAATGTTAGCAATAACTGTACCTCATGGCAACTGGAAACTGTTTTTTTCTGGAAGTATTATTATATTGCATATATTCAAAATGATGAAAATGTAACTGGAGTCAAATTCCAGAAGGCTCTACGTTAAAATTAACCACCACAAAGTAACTCCATTGGCTTCAATTAAAGCAACTTTAGGCAAGAGGATAAACACAAAAAGAGACAGGTACACATTTTGCTCAACTGGCCGTTAAGGTCTCCAATTCTCTTTACCCTTTAAGACTTTAATAAAGTAGGCAATTTATTAAAATGAACCAGAAGATTGGGTAATACGTGGAAATAATGCTCAGATCCAACATCTAAAAGTTTTTTCTCAAGTCTAGAAAAGTGAGCAGGTTTGCCCACCTACCTCTATCTAATAAATAAATTAAAATAAAAAGCAGCGCTACTGAACAATTTCTATTCTGTTATAGCTTTATATTTTATACAACAGTGTTATTACCTTTCCAAGCATTCTTCCAAGAAAGTAGTAATGTCGGGCATAAGAATCTCCAACGAGCATCTGTGCAGCAGGGTTAGGATAAAGAAGTCCCTCATTCGTGGTCTTAAAAAATCCCTGGTTAGGGTTAAATCCTGATTTAAGCAGCTCATTCAGAAATTCTCTGAAAATTCCACCACCATCGATACCAGCTTCATCAAGGCCATGCGCATTAAGTAAGTGAACACGAATGCGCTTTTTTAGGTCAGGTTCTGCAGAGAAAGGAGAGAGACTCAAATACAACTCTCTGTTTGAATTTTCTTTAGATCAGTTTGTATATATAGTTAAATGTATTTTTATCTACACTATTTCTCCATTAAAATGGAAGTAGTAAATAGTACTTTTGCAGAAACCTATTACTGGACTGAGTTTTGGGACAGTTTCATTATTCAGTACGTGGAACGTACTTTGTACAGTGGGCCTTGCTGTAAGAGTCCTCAAAAGACGGAGCAGAAAGATAGCAATGAGGAAAAAAATACATCCTACAAAATATTTTATTAAGGCCTGAAAAAGATTTCAGAAATTGTATTTATATAAAATATTGTGAATGCAAGGTTCAGCTTTCTCCAGTTTGAAGGAACTATCAATAAGCACTGCATTCCCTTAGAGGGGATGACTGTTTAGCTACATCATTAAATAACATTCTTTAAAATTGAGCTTAATATTTTTGCTACTTAGGACTCGGTGCTATCTCATGTAATTGCAATGAGGACGGACATGCTGAAGATGCAGATCTTTTGCTTGTTTCATAGAAGACTTATTTGAGAGAGATTCTGGAAGGTGGAACGTCGGCAGCCATCCTATTCAGGACCACAAAAGGTGGCACGCACACACACGCACGCACACACACACACACACAAGTATATATACTAGATATATTTTTAAGGGTTTTGCATACACTGTATTACGCATGTCTGCTTGCACCATGCACGCACACATCCTGTAATGTCCATGGGTGATATCTGTTGTTCACATTCCTTTGAACCCCCTTTCCTGCCTTCCTCATACATCAAGGATGAAGTATCATGAAACACCTAAAACAACTTCTCAGCCTGTTACCACCAAAAGAAATGCTCCCACTCTCCTTTTACCCACCACCACCTACTGCTTCCCTTCCACTAGCTCCGACTCCAGTTTCACCCCTCCAGTGAGCTGGAGTGACCCACTTCAGCTCGCTGTTCAATTTGCCCCTTTCTCTAGATGACTTTTCGGCCTTGGCGAACTGCTCGCCTCTCTAAGGGGCGAGGGAAGCACCAGGGCCCAGCCACACACCCAGGACAGGGAGCTCCCAGTCCCTGACCAGTGCCACAACGTTTGCTAGCGTGATTAATTTTCTTGTAAGATCTTAGATCCCTGCTGCCGCTTGCAGAAATGACAGGCTTCTTCACTCCCTGCTGGAAACGTGAACAACTATTTGAGAGCAGTAAGATGACAGCAAGACAGGCAGGAGATGGGGTGGAAGGGTTTCTTTTTTCCCCAGGTCACTGGAGATTTTCTTTCAGAATTACGCCCGCACAAGGCTCTGAATAAGCAACATTCAGTCCCTGAAACACATCCACATACCTGGGAAGCAGGACTTTTACACAATTCACTGAAGGCCTCTAAAGATCTAACTAGCGTTTATTTAAACTTTACACTGACTACATTAGCTTCCAATGAAGGGAAGTAGTAATAAAACAATAAAACTTTACACTGCTTCCATGCGTACTACGAATGCACGCACTATGGTTGTACAGCTGATGTTCGTGAACGAACCTGCAGCACTTTCTCCTGAACCTGTGTCACAAGTCCACTCTCCCGTTAGTGAATGCAGCCAGATCTACTAATAACTTTCCAGTCTTCACAATTTTCACATTCAGCTATTTTTTAAAATTACCCATTAGTCCTTCTTTACAGTAAAACGCTCTCCTGCATTACAGTTCTGCTAGCTGGAGATGGCCGTTTTTAGACAAAGACATTGCAAAAAGTCCAATATTCTGTTCAAAAGAAGAAAACGGAACACAGCTGAACTGGCAAGAGAGTCTCAAGCATACAGACGTTCTTTACTTGGAGATTCCCAAGATATTAAATATTAGCGTTAAAACTTGCACATATGGAAAGGCTGTTTTCATTACTTTTTAGAGCTTTCTGAAGAAAATCAGTTATTTGTCTCCTCCTCTGTGTACTGACAAGCAGATTTATAGCAAGCAGGGAAAAATGGTCCTAAAACAAACTGGTGACCAGGTAAATAATGGACCCCAAAATTCGCGCCCCCTCTGAGAAAAGGCTGCACTTTAATAACTTATACAGCTACAATGTAAGTAAACTGTTACTGGAGTCCATCATAGGCTATTACAGAATATTGCCATCACAGAAAAAAAAAATCCACTGAGAAAACACTTGCACGTTATTAGACGTAAGAGCGCCAAAAAAAAAAAAAAACATATATATAAACCCACAAGAACCAGCCTAATACGTTTCTACTATGCTAAACTCGTTTTAAAAATGATCTCAGTTAAAGTACTACCAAGCGTTAACTTCGAACAGCTTTCTTCTGAGTACCTACAGGCAACCTGGCTGCCTCCCCCAAATCAATGTCCTTTGCTCTCTCCCGATCAATTCTAAGACCACACCTATTGTGTACTTAATTTCCTAGGTCCATTTTAATCAATTCAGGCTATAGTCTTGAAATCGAGTCTTGCAGTTTTCAGTCTTTTCTTTTTTACTGCTCTCCTATATGGTGCCTGACCTACTCCAGAACTAACGTTATTTCATAAAACATTGACTCAGAATATCAGCTTTTTAGAACGAAACAAACAGTTTTGATTTTTTCGATTGTTTTGATTTACAGTTTTGATTGACACCAGATAGTACAGTACACATTTCTGCATGTGTGCAATGCACACCATTCATAAATAGATTTTCTGACTTCAGTGGCCATTTACCACCAAAGCTTCTCTGTATCTGTTGATGAGAGAGAAAGCTTTACCTAGAGATTACTCTACATCCAATCACTTGCTACAAGTTTTCTGGGCCCTCCCTTGTTGTCACGTTTTTATGAGTATAGCAGTTTTTCTTCCCCTAAGGAAAGGCTGAAAACACTATCTGCAACTATATACATGTATATGCATTATTATACAGGATCAAGATCTGCTCCTCAGATAAATTTTCTACTAAATACTAAAGCTCTGTTTGCTAAATAGAAGGCCTGACATTTATTATTTCTAAATATAATCAATATATATGTCTAAAAATTAAGAATCTAACTATGTTAGGAAGTACAGATGTTCCTTACATACTAGCTCATTAGTATTTCACTCCTGGTTCAAACTGCAGTCAGATGCATACAGGAATCCATATTAGAATCAAAGAATAATCTAGGTTGGAAGCGACCTCACCTACGGTATAAAATCCCAACACTGACAGCAGGGCCAACTTCAAAGTTTTAGCAGCATGATCAAGGCCTTGATCGAGTTGAGCTGTCCGAGGATGGAGGTTCCACAGCCTCTCTGGACGATCATTCCAGTGCCTAACCAATCCCACCTCGAAAATTCTTTTCTGTATGCCCAGTCGATATTTCCCTTGCTGCACCTTAGCAAACAGGCTCCCGTAACGTCCCATTAGGCAACGGCAGCGATAAGATTCCCTGTAGGGAGTCCCTCTTACACTGAACAAACCACTTCTCTCAACCTCTGCTCATATATCAGATGCTCCAGCCCCCTACATCATCTTGGCGGTCTTCTCCTGGCCTCACTCTTACATGTCAATGTCTTTTTCATACTGGGAAGTCCAAAACCAGCCACAGTTAATCAGTGCTGAATGGGGGGGGGGAAAAACTTCCCCGAAACTGCTGGCTCCGCTCTCACCAACACAGCCCAGTATGCTGTTAGCTTTTACCTCATCAAGGGGGCACTCCTGACTCTCGTTCAGTTTGTTGTTCACTTGAAATCCCAAGTCCTTTATTACAAAACAGCTTTCTAGCCAGTTAGTGCCCAGCCTGTATTGGTTCGTCCACTCCAGGTAGAGGATTTTCCTTTTGTCTTTTGTTAAACTCCATGAGGTTTCTGTAAACCCTTTTCTTCAGAAATCCCTCCGAACAGCAACCTGACCTTCCAGCATATTGACTGTTTTCCCCTAATTTGGTGCTTTCTGTGAACTTGCTAAGAGGGGTGAATTACATCCCAGTGCCTGGATCATCAAACTGCAGGTTAAGTTCAGGAAACCTGCGTTTTAAAGCTACATTAATTAGGCTGACTACTTCACAGTACCATGTTTCTCATTTAAAGCTAACTCAATGTTATACAAAACCTTATCTTTATAGCTAATGGGTTGATTTGCCTGTTGCTTGACACCGTATCATTCAAGAGCTTATAGACCACCTTTCCAAATTGCATTTTTATGCATTTATTGAGAGACAGGGGAAGGCTGGCTCAGCTTCTGTGCGTTTTCCAATTCCAACTCATCTCTCCATTTTGAGCAAACCAGTTAGCAAGTCAAACTAAACTTATACACAGCAAAAATACTTTTTACCTCCAGGAAAGAGGCCACACAGTCAGTTGCACACAGAGCCTTTCATAGAGATTATCCAGTAGCATCTTCCTGATTAGCCTTTAAAACTTTCCACAAAACATGAGTACTCGATTATCATTTGTACTTAATTTAAAATTTTTGATAAATTAGTCCACATGTATCTCTATTAGGTATTTACAGTTTTAGACACAGATGTTACGTGAAAGACATCACAAGCTTATTTCAAAAGAATTCATAAATCATGACATTATAAATAAAATGGTATCTTTAATTCTACTACAGTGGAAGAAAAGAAGAAAAGGCATGCTCTCCAGTAATTTTACACAGACCAAAACCAACCACTTCTTCCTTTCCAAGTCAGGCCGTTCTCCAGAGGGGAACTTACGTGGCACTTATGCGGCAGTAGGTGAGATTCACAGAGTAAGACTCAAGTATGCGGCCAGTATTCTTTATATATATAAAAACACCATGTAATTAACACGGACTTTATTTAGGCAGGCTGTATCTGCAGTGGAATTTTGGCTTCTGGGGGAGCTGTTCTTGCACATATTCACACTGAGGTATGATTTACATCCATATACTAGTGCACTGCATTATCCTTACCAGCCACAGTGCACCTAGCAAAAACGTCTAGACTGCACGCAGGACTTGCTGACGCTGACTACCAAAGCAGGGAATTTCTATATTGAGGGATATACACAGTACGGCTATTTGGACAAGGAAGTGGGAAGAAAAGCCTCATAACATATAATTTTGAACTAAGGAAAGGTGTGTTAAAAGAGAACGAAACTGCAATAATCAGAAAGAATCTGGATGAGAATTACATTATGCGAAGTGAAGAAGCTTTTTTTCTTTTTTTACTCTATGAAATAGACTTGGACATTTCACAGCTGATACACTTTTCACGTCCCACTCAAGTGAGCAAACTTCACTGTAAACCTACCATTTTCAGGAGAAAGTTTATCATAAGCATCTTCATAAATATAATTTCTTCTGATAGTGACATTAATTCCATCCAGAAATGGACCATCTCCTTGAACTTCCTGCTTATCAGCATAGATCAGTCTTTGAAAAATCTGTTAAAATGAATGCAAAAAGAGAAATCAAGTCATTGTACAGACCTAAATATTCAATGAAAAATGGTCATTTACCACTATTACTGTCCTTTCAGAGTTGCTTCTGGGAACCCATTTTCAAGTGATTTGTCCTCTCCGTCATCAAGCTGCAGAAGTATAACGCAGAGCCACATCCCAGGGAAGGGAAGGGGAGGGAGCAGACATGCAAAAACTTTCATCCTAAGAGCCTCCATTCTTTCTACATAAAGAGGGGTATCTATAGAGACAGTGTTAATTATTCGTTTTCCTCTCTCTAACTTTCAGAGTTCTAAAATGCAAAGTATTCCAAAATAAAGGGAAAAGGTCACATGAGTACTTTGAACACAAGAGAGCTAATCCTCAGTATTAGTAAACACTCAGTGGTTGTGTAGTGCTTCGGAACATTCACAGTAACAAGAAATTAGGTAGCAGTACTGCTCTCAGGTCGTAGTGGGCAAGTAATTCAAAGCAAAATAGAGCATTATTACTGCATTTATACCATACTAAATGAAGTACCAGAAGAACATACCAATTCCAAAAGACAATTCTAGCTAAAGTACAAAGTGAACATCACACTGTCCTTCACAATAGGAACCTATCATAGTTCTCCTGAAGAGTAACTGTAGCTAACTGAGTTTCTGTGTCAGGATATAGCTCGGGATTTTTTTGCCTAGTATATAATAATGTTCAATACACCCTCAATCCAGAGGGTAAAAGTCTCTTTACCACATCCTCTCTAGCATCTTCCCCATATTCAAAATGTACTCTGGTAAATTTTCTACGGGATGTAATCTTCAAATAACATCACAGATTGCTTCATAACTAAAGAGATAAAGCAAGAGTCTCCAGAGAAGTTTAGAGAAGAACAACATTACCGAATTCACAGTGAAAGAGGAAAATCTAGCAAGAACAGACATAAAGCCAGTATGAGGTCTCAAATCTACTGTTTCAATGTACAACTGTAGGTGGTGGAGAGGACACTCTCCATCTAAGAGGATTATAGCGTAGGCAAAGCCAGACTTTTCTATAATGTGCCCAGCAGAAGGACAAGAGAAAGTCGCAGCAAGGGAAATACTGATTGGACATAAAGAAAAAATTTTCAGAATGAGAGTGGTTAAGTACCAGAGCAGGCTGCATAAAGAGACTGCGAAATCTTCATCCTAGGTCATAGTCAAAACATCGATGGATACTACCATGAGTGTCCTGATCTAACTTTGAAGTTATTCCCGTTTTGAGGAGGAGGTTGAACTAGAGTAGCTCCAGAAGTCCCTTCTGACCAAAATTCTTCTACAGTTCTCTGACATTAAGGCACATGGTCATGGGCATCATCTTTTTTATGAACAGGACATGAGAATATGCTCACCACCACTTTATTTCCTGAAGTGTACGGCCAGATAGTTTCATTATCACTGCTACACAATGAATGATGGACGGAAAGAAAGTTTTTAGGGTGTATCTCACAGTCTCTGTATTAAGAAGAATTTTGCTTAAACAGAGTTATAGCTAGAACAAATTAAATCTAGGTGTTCTAATATGAACTGCACTGCTTACACACACTGAAAGCTCAGATTAATTAAGAACACAAACGTCCACCTCCTAGAAGGGATACCTCGGCTTGGACAAATCTAACAACAATGACTTCTTGGACTGTTGATCCAAGAACAAAGACAATGAGAAAAGACTCCCTCTAGATAAGAGGGATCCCACCAGCAGCTTGGCTCATGTGACATACTCCGCTATCTACAGGTATTTTGAACTGCGGACTCAGAAAGCAGGAAATAAAACCCAGGTGATTGTTTCCCACAGAGAACCGAGGTACCTGATGCAAACTGGATTCATCATTACCTACAGCAAGCACAAGACTGAGAGCTGCACAGCAATTTGCTTTAAACTGAAGGGGATAATATCCCTGGGGTCAGCATGCTGAAGAACCTAGCGTGAAACTGGACTGAGTAATCACTTCAGAGAGTATCTACTATCTGGTAATTCAAAGTAAAAATCTCATCTAAAAATCAGAAAAGGAAAGGACACATGGAGCAACCCACACATGGAAACAGCAGGAACCTGTATTAGCACGTTAAATTACAGTGCAATATGGCAAGCGAAAAAATACATGATAAGGTATCTTCCTCCTTTACTGTGATTTGCTTTGTAGGAGCAGTTCCGAAAGAAGTAGAAGACTCTTAAAATGATTCCTGTCCTGCTACTACACAAGAAGGACCACATTTGGTGCAAACAGCAGTAACAAGGGCAGCTCTTCTTTGAGGCATACCAAGACTATACAATTTCTGACTGTAGCTTTTTCCTTCTCTCCAAATTCTCATCCATTTTTTGATTAAAAGGATGCTAACTTTTTCAGAATAAAACGTCAACTTTCAGTTTTTGTGATAAAGTGAAACGAGGCTTTGTGAATCCCAGGGACTTAAAATACGCGCATCTTAACATAGCTTTAAGAAGTCTGGAGACAGTGACCAAACTGTGACATACAGACCTCTGCGTGAGGTCACTTCCGACTGTTTGGCTGTACTCCTAGTTCAATATTGCCGTCTGGTATTAGACGTTTTACTGGAACAACTGCTTCACAGAAGCCCAAAAGAAACAGTCCTTCTCTATCAAATTTGTCACTGTCTTTTTGGCAAATATTGATTTACTTTCCCTGTGGAACTATTTTTCATTCCCTTGATGGAGTCTTGTAACTTAACATCTCCAAGACAATTCAGGAAGTAGTTTTTAATTAACCGGTAGTGTTGACAACAGAAGTACACAACCTAACAATTTTATATGTAAAATCTAGAAAACATTCAAAAGCAAATCAAATAATACAAGACTCTTGCAAGTTGCAAACTACATACTCTATTTAAAGTTCAGCTACTCAGCTGTGAACGCAGAAATTAAATCTCTGGGTGTTATCTTCCCAGAACGAACAACCATTATCTCACTGAGAGTAAATCCATCCACTGCACAAAGAAGTCTCAAGTCTTGACCTCGCAACCTGTTTACTATAGACACACAACCAGTTAGCGCTCTGCTTACCACAGGAGGGTGCAATCATTGAATCAGAATTGAAGTTCACTATAAGGGTACTACTACTCTCCGGCAACTTTACATTGGAATGTATGTTTCTAACTTTAAAATACTTACTATGAAAAGGACAATACAAACAGTAAAAAGAGGGAAAAGTAATCTTAGAACGTTCTCCAATGCGGTTGCCATGCAAACACTGGAGAAAAAGAGGGTGTCTATCAACTCTTTTGTAGAGAAAAAATTCAATTTCTACTCAGCTAAGTGCTCTTCCTACACTTACTGAAAACAGAAAAACTCAAAACTCCAAAACCAAGTGCATATTAAATTAGAAATTAGATACCTTTACTCTTTCTTCAAAAGGAACTACAAAAGGTAGCTCTGTCAGAATTGCAAGTTGTCGTTCTTCAGATACGGAAAGAGGTGCTGGTTCCAAACCCACTTAAAATAGAAATAATAATTTTAAAAATTTTGGAAAGAACAGGATTTTTTTTGAACAGTTTTTTTTGTAACAAGTAACTCAATTTACTTTGTATAAAAATATACACATTAAAACAGTTTATTTACTAACAAGACATATCCTTCTTCAAAAATTAGCTTCTAACAGGCAAGCTGAAAGGTAAGCAGAGGAAACATACTGAAAACAAAATGTACATAAAAATAATAATTCAATAAAAAAAATTACATGACACAAGACAATTAAAAAGTTGTAAATAATTATGATCTTCATCATAAGAACACACAATATCTTCATCCCAATAATCAAAATAGTTCAAACGTATAGTGTTTTCAGCCATGTAGTCTACTTTAATTCGCCTTACCATTTTATGCCTAAAAACTAAGCCAAATCTAATGAAATCAACAGAAAGATAACATTTCTTTCAATGGGTTTTCTCTCCCAACAGCAGGGACCCAGTCATCACATTAAATTCCAGTCACTACAGAAATACTGAAAAGAATATCAAGAAATTATATAACTTGCTCAAGGAAAAAAAGAGCATTAGAAAGCGTTCAGGAAGCCAAAGCAACAGTGAAATGAAACGCAATGCAGTTCCCAAGCTACCATGGAGTTCCTTCGGACCTTCGTACACACATACCCACAAAGGAAGTTTTTAGGAAATAGTTCAACTTCGGGCAATGCACAGTAGAAATCGGAATCCTGCTCTAACTTAATGAGAAGAAAGTCAGCTGCTGAGCGCTTATCTGATTGTAAATTTATTAATCGCAGCACTGGTACTGCTCACTTGCTAGATATTGTGGTTAAAGGTCCACCTAGCTTCAGAAAAACCCAAAGACAGCTTGTTTCATTTCTGTATTTAATAAACCTCCGTTAGAGAAAAAACAGTAAACAGAGCCTAGACTATTTAGAGAAAACATTATAAAAATGAAGTAAATGCTTCATGTTATTACTCAGTCCAAAAGCTTAGAATCACTGTTTCAGTTTTGTCTTTGCCTTCGCTCTGTGGAAACTAGCTAGTATCTCGCTGCCCTTATGCAACTGAGCATCACTTCACTGTTCATTATTTAATGGTTCTGTATTTTTTAATTCCTCATAGCACTTTAAGTGGGGCTATTTTAAGCACCAATTTAACATGACCCAATATATCACTATACTCGATACATATTCATTTTGGGCAGGTTTCAACATTGCAAGCCTTTGGAATTTCTGACAAAATGCTTATCTGTGATCCCTCTTAGTTTACTTAGTAAACATTTTTAATTAAAGTCAATGTATGCTACCTATTAAGCTAAGGGTTAAAAGCATTTTAAATAAAAACTGCATGTACAGCAAAGGTAAACTACTACATGACTTCGACAGTTCAATTATTCCCGTCAATTAGTCAATTTTATCTGCATTTCTCCATCACAGTTTCTTTCCTTAAAGAGAAATATGGGATGGAGTCATCAATACAGAGGGCATTTAGGACTCAAGATTCTGCCATTTAAGTAAATGAAAAAGCACAAATAAACATGACCATATGCGATTCAGCAGTACTTTCACACTAATTGGCTTTAACCCATATGGAGTCAAGAGGTATTAAACAAGTCACGTGCACGTTGTTATGTGCTTGTTTTCATGCAGTCATGTTGACTGCACTTTTTTTTAAGCCTGATTTCTTGTGGAAACAATGTTTGTACGAACATGCTGCGTCACCCTTCCTCACCATCTTCCCTCCAATACGCCTCCCGGGCTAACCAGCTTGCTTTTAACTTTGATGGAGGAACAAGGGACTCAGAAATACTAAGTGCTGTGAAAATTTGTAAGTGGGTGGAGAGAAATTCCTTTAGTAACCTGATGACAGGCCCTGTTCACTGTGTCAGCTTGTCTACTCGACAGCCAGCCAAAAAGGCTGTTGTCAGCCAGAAAAATTAGCACATGTAGCTCCAACTCAGCCACAGCACATGGATTCCTTATTCACCAATTGCCCAAACTAAGGTAAATAATGAAATGGAACTGGTGTTATTATGGGAAGGGAAACAAGGGAGACAGCTGAGGACACTGTACGCGTAAGGGGAAGGAGATTAGCAGACTAGCAGTGTGGGGAGAAGCTGGGAGCGATAAAACAAGCAACAAGTCTGACAGCGGGGATCTGCGGATGGAGGGTACCAACACAATACAGCAGCTGGGAGAAACGGAGGTCAATGCAAGAAACCGGGATTACAGTTATGGAGTCTGCAAGAGATAAAGGACGAAAGCCTGCAGGAGACTGGTAACACTTAAAACTAGTCCAGGTTCTCAGCATTTCTAGCTAAAACTTCTGTTTCTACGATTTCACCTTCTCAGCCACTCAGAACAGGTAACTTCCAGAGACAAAATAATCTGAACAAATTTGACTCAAAATTCCAAGGACTACTTACACTAGACCAACAAATTGTTACCTGGTAAACAGACAAGTAAAGTAATCAAAATAAACTTACACCATCACAGCTATGTAAATAAAATTTATCATTAAAAGAAGCCCTCAGACTCCAATCTCAGAAAAAGCCAGTGACAATTCTGTAGGGCTCTATGGCAGCTTTCAGAGTCTTCTGTACAAAGTCTACCGAATCTGCTCAGATACACCGTAAGATGTAAGACGACACCATCTTGAAAGAGAATGTGGACTCTCATAGATTAATTAATTCCTTCACAGGTATTAGTGTTGTAATGATTATTTTACCCAGGCAAAATAATCAAGGTAAAATTCTAAAACAGTGAAGGTGCAGAGGTCTGAAAAGCAGAAAGAAACAGACCATCTACATGAGGAAGCATACTAGTATAACTACACTCATGTACGTTTACCCTGAACTAAGTTGGTCTCATGTTTCTTTAGAAGTTCCATAAAGTCTGGGTTTTTCAGTGATTCAAGGAAATAAGTTTCTGCCTTAACTTATTAGAATATTGTCATATACAAATATTTATCAGTAATTAATAATTACCTAAAGCTTGTTACAGTTTTATATATAACAAGACAGCTTTTTCACAGTATACTGTAAAAGCAAAATCTCAGCATTTTATAATTTATGCAACTTTAAGCACTTTATATCTTACGCAACTGCATTTTATACATATTCATACACATATTTTTAAAACATATCACTTGCATGCCTCATCATTTCACTTCTTCAGTGCCACTGTAAGCAGCAGAGGCCTGGGGGAAGTTGTGCAGTGCTGTCTTGCTTTTCTCCAAGGAAGAAAATAAAACTATTACACATTAAAGATTAAGCACGCGCACACACACATGTATAAGCACACAAACGCATGGGCTTTTTAAATAATTCAGCACAAAATTATGGAAGATTACTTTGCTTTTGGCTTTTAACAAACTATTCAACTGTACTCTAAAAAGGCAGATTTTAAAGAAAACCATAAAGCAAATAATTATTTTGACATTGTAAAGCAAAAATTGCAGAGACAGCATCTTACCGTCCAAGGTAGATTGCAACGGTCCTATTCTTCCCATTCTTCTAACTCTCCAGACATGTCTAGCGGATGGCACGTACAGCTGGGTAACCTAATTTATTAACAGTATTTCTCAATTAAATATTGTCTAGTTACATATTAAGTAAATACAGAAACCGTGAAGTCCAAGAGTCTGAGTCTGAATCCCTAAAACCTTAAGTTCTAATCCTACCTCCGAATACCTGTGCCTTAAAACAGAGCTCCAAATTAACAACTACAACGTCCAGGTACTATTTAAAAATACCATGCAATGTTACGTTAAATTATGGCATTTAAAATACTAGTGAAGCTGAGTTTGAACTTTCAGATGTCAAATGATTTGCTCTCACATGAATCAGGGCAACAAGTTGTATTAAGACACCCTCTACTTTCTCTACGGTATGGAAGTGCTATTATCTACGAACGATAAGCAACTGGCACACTCACAGAAAAATGGGTATCTTGAACACTAGGCAAGCAAATAGGCAATGGTAAAAAATAAATAAAAGAGTTTTACAGTTCCTGTGCAAAACTTCCAACTGTTAAGAACTATACCTCTAATACTCTGAGGTAGTCTGAGGTATAACTAACGTCTTAGATCCAAATTTTCAGTGATTCAAATGATGTATGTTTACACTCATATTAGCATTTTCTTGTACAGGCACGTGCCCATTTTAAAGTTCAAATAATGTAATTTTGTTCAAATGTTTTCAGAAAACAATAACTTCTAGGCAAGATAAGTACAGAAAATGCTAGTGAATTTTATTTTATTTTTGGAAAAGAGAATTTTGAAGTTTTTTTCCACTATAAAGTAATTCTTTCATTTAGTATTTTTATTATGAGAAGTGCTTGAAATAACCAGAAAATAAGTCACTGTAATGTGTAAAAATGCTATGTGCTTTCTATTCTCTTTTACTATGAATGGAGATGAACTACACTGCTGCACTGTAGAGCAGGTTCCACTTTATGGATAGGTTATGTAATTTTAGGTAAAGGTTTCTTAACAGGTGTAAAACTCCATATTACAGGGAAAAGCAACGTAACTCCAGGTTTCAAACTACACTGAATCTGTGCAACATCAACATCTTGCTATGAATGTAAACATCATATCAAAGGTTGATTCTCTCTTAAAAGCAAACACCTTATTGTTTAAGCTTCAGCACCAACAAGTCTGTGTGAAATGGAATTTTACTTTTACCTTATCTGCTTTTATGTTTTCTTGTTCTGACAGCCAGTGATTTGGTGGGCAGAAATTTCTCCTTGTATCTCTAGATTTCAACATTTTCACTAAGTTTGTGATGACCTAGGTGTCAGAAATACATATATTCAATATATATTTAGCACTGTGAATGAAATTATGTAATAGAAAGTCAAATCTAGAAGCAAAGCCTTAAGGAAATCTTGCATTAATGTAGGAAATTGTTATTTATTGTTAAAAATTTGCTCTTATACCTAAATACCTTAGAATAGGGTAAGTAATTGTGGTTCATTCGTAAGTCATCCCAAAAAAAGTCTTATTAAAGTCTCATACTAGGACTACCAATTCACAGCTAAAAAGTCATATGCCAGTCCAGACACATAACAAATCATTTCAACACTGCATTCCTTCTTTAAATAAAACAACATCTAATTGGATCATTTATACAGGTCTTTTTGGTTGGTTGGTTTTTTGCTTATTCAAACCTAAAGGTGTGAATAGATACATGTTTTAGAAGAGAGCTGCATCTCTGTTTTTTTTTACTACCTCTTGTTCCAAAATGAAGACTTGTTCAGAATTTGTTTGATTTGCAGGTTTTCTTTGTCTACAAGCAGAAGAATTCCTGAATTTCTGTGGACCACTTTTCAGAGCCTCTGTTAGAGGGGAAGTTTTGCTTCCAATCTTGAGACAAACGTCACGTTCCACACTAAGCAAACCTTATGGGTCAACTAATAAAGAGTGGGTATTTCTGCCTACAGTCAATAATCTTAACTAACTAGCTACCACTACATCATTTGGTATGTTCCTTAATGGCAAAAGACACCAGAAATTGTCCAAAGGCAACACGAATTTTGGAAGAAGTACAGGGGGAGGAAGCAGAGGCATTAAACTGGCAACAGAACTTGACAGCAAAAGTTTCATCTCTATAGTACATGAAAGATGGCAGCTGCAACTCCAGGTTGCTGCACTGACAAACTAAAGCATTTCCAGCTAAAATTGCCTCAAAAAAATCATAAGCATCTGCTTATGATATTCATCACCAGACACTCTGGGGATTATCCATGTGGAAAACAAACACAGATATTTTAAGGGTAGAGCTTTACATTTAAAAAAAAACACCACAAGCTCCTTTTATTGTCAATGAATATCAGTGTCGGAGGCAGGGAAATGTGCTTATCGTGGCTATTGGTTGCTGTTGCAGTTTTAGTATTTTCCTTGGCAGTTTCCTCCAACGTGGAAAAAGAAAGAAAGAAAAAAAGAAACAAGCAGCGATATCAAGTTAATGACTACTCCATCACAAGCACAACTGTCATGCTTGGTTGCATGCGTTCTCCCCAAAGAAGGTTAAATACATGTACAAGAGAGAACCAACTTAGCCCAACACTATGTAAAACATAATTAAGTGGAATCAGTGTAAGTTTAATAACTAGCCTAAAGGAAGTTACCACTGCTATGAACAGACATCTGTTTTGCAACTTAGAACTAAGGCATTTGAACAACGAACGGAAGAAAAACATACACAAAGTTTTTCCAAAGTAATCTTGCTGAAAGACAGTCTTAACGGGCAGGTGTCAAGAGTAACAAAGAGTTGAATGGGCCTTCTGAAGGATTCTGTGTCTAGATACTAAACAAAAGATCTTTAAAGATCCAGTTCGTAAAGTTTATTCTGAATAAAGATGGAAATAAAAAAGAATGCTAATAAAGGAACTGTTTGATTACCCAGGAATTTCCATCACCTTGCCTTTTTAAAATTCAGTGCTGCTTAGATGAGCCTCTGGTTCCATTACTATCATACTAAAGATAAAAAAAAAAAAAAACCCTAGGAAAAAATTATCCACATGAAGACCACGCTAGTAAAATGTTTTTAAAAACAGTTAAAGAAACCTTGAAGAAAGCTGCGTGAAATTAGGTGAAACTGGAGTTCCTTCTCCCAAATTAATGTATATATTGAGAACATTAGCAAGCAAAATTCAGGATTTCTTTGTAAAATTTGTTTTATGTATCTTAGTGAAAGGAAAGTCTCACTTTAACAAGTAATTTTAAAATGGAGATTTCTTTTCAATAATGTGCAAAGTGCACACAACCCACAAAGTTCAGGAAAAACAGGATCTTATATTATTGCATAGGATGAATTCCAGAGAGTGAAATAATTATTTTATTTGACAAAGCGTTTTTTTCACGCACTCACAACTTAAGTCCTTCTACACAATCTGTAACAGCAGCTATACTATTTCAGTATTATATCATAAGCTAAAAAGGGTATTCTGCTAAACAGGTATTTTCACATGCAAATCTAGATTCTGCAGACAAATAGGCACACCTCACCATCAGCAGTCTCACTGGTTTCAGGTTTTCCATTACCTTACACAAGCAAGGTGTGTATATATGGGAATGCATTTCATTAGACACTAGTGGTATAGAAGACATGTAAAACAAGTATGAGAAATTAAAAGAGTAGATCATAGGAAAGGACTGTGCCTTTTTCCTCAGCAGACAGCGTGCAACAGCTTTAGAAGAGACAAATCTCTCACGTCTTTGACTCCGTGTAAGGAAAGAAAAGTCTCATCTACTTCGACACCTCAAATTTATGAGGAATTACTTCAGCTTTGTTTCTATTTTTTGTGAGAAGACATTGCTGCTCATTCATTGGCAAAAACCAACCTTGAAGGCACCCTCAGAAAGACTCAAGGCTGTAGGTTTCCAAATAAAACAAGGTGAATGTAGTTGTGCTGAATTTTGAACACACGAAGCTTTGTTATTAGCTACATTTGTGGGTAGAAACAGAGCCGTTAAGATATCTTAAAGATTTATATTTGTAATTCAGCTAACGGAAGACAACTCTGGCTCCTGAAAATCATGAGAGTACACCAAGTTTAGACAATTCCACTAAGAGTTTAATAGCTGCCTGCCAAAGTGAGAGAGAATAACTTGGGATTTAGCACCTGTCTGAAGGAAAGCAAAATACAATCAAACTCATCTAAAATGCAAGAGGCTAGAGAAAGGATTGATTAAACACGATAAAACTAAAGAAAACAAATAAGGAATGGTATGTTATAAACTCCATACATACAAATTCCCCTAACACGCTGTCTTCCTTATGAAAACAGACATATTGGGGCTTTTCTCTTGTGACCTTTAAATCGAAAGTTTATTTGGCAATTTAAAGACAAGTAATTAAATTAAATTGTGCAAACATATATTAGATCAATCTTTGCAAATTACAAATTCAGTGGTGCATTAGGACTGTATTCAGTGCAATCAAAACATTATCAGTTACTCTCACCGCTATTAATGCTTATGCTCATAAGTGAAATGTGTTGTAAAATCAGGCAGAATAGGCTGGATAGAGGCTATCTTAGACTTGTAGAATGAATAAGCATTCCTTAATTAGCCCATCAGGTTAAGTGCAAGCCTTAATGGGCCTTTCCTAAAGTCTAGCATGACATCTTTCTCCAAACATGGCCAAGAAGAAAGTTCCATTAGCAATATTAATACAAGCTTAGTTGATCATTTTCATTCAATTAACTTCTTTCAATTAAATAGATAGCTTGACAAAAGCAGTGATAAAAGACCTGAAGGGACAGTTGATGACTCGAACTGAACATTAGTGTGCGAGAGGTCGCCAGTATTAAACGGACTGTAAATCTAGCATTCAATTTGGAAAATGCATTTCTTCTGCGCCCACTTCTTTAATGAGCAGTTTTAGCTGACTAGATGTGTTTGCTGCAGAATTTTCATGACAAGTCAAGCACTCCCCTTTTTCCAGCAATAGTTATATTCTTAGGTTTTTCCTGCCAATATTTTCAGCTTCCCTTAACTCATGCTGCAGGCTGCCCCGGATAAAACTAATAGAAATACATTGCTAGATACCTAGAAGTATCATACATTAAGTTTACGTTTGCTAAGCCTCATTTATCACCCCCCTGGTATTCCAGTAAGCCCAAAAGGAGCTGGATCAGCATACTCCAGTATGACAGCAACAAAAACCAATGCAGCATGGTACCAATTTAGCAAAGCCTTTAATACTGAAGAACTTGAGTAATCTTACGATCCAAAAAGAATTTCACACATTTGTAAAGTTAATCACATGTACCTTGCTGAACAGGAGATCAAGTTAAAACCTATATTCTATATAGCAACTTCTTTACAAACATGATAGCAGGAAAATGAAATTAAGATTCATCAAAAGCAAAAAAATAAAATAATTTGTTACATTTATCAAAATTAAATTACTCTAAATACTGGCATATTTGCCAAAATCAGATTTCCAAAATCCACATCCTGATAACAACTATGATAAAAGTCTAATCATTAAAAAAAAACACTTTACACAATCTCTCATTATCAGCAGAGAGGAGTCTGAAAGTGCTATTTTAATCTGTTTTGAAAATTGACATAACATACCTTGAATAACTGAATCCATCTTTTTTGTTCTGTCTGTATACATTGCTGCATTTCTGTATTTTTTGTTACTCCAACACTTCTAAATGCTGCGATATATTCCTCACGAACTTCTGGTTTTGTTTCAGGGTAAGCCAACTTTATGATTCCTAAACATGCATCTCGAAGGCAGCGTGATAATATTACTAGCTCTTCTAGCGTAAAAGGCATCATTGATGATTGTCTTTGACCTACAACTACATAAAGTGTAAGTTTAAGTTTCTTTAAACTACCATTCCTAATCATTTTGCTATAAAAAAAACCACTCACTATTTCATGGAAACTAATACACACACAAAGTAAAGGCAGAGAAAAGAGACATCACAAAAAAAGATAATGGATATACATTTATAACAGCAATCTTTTTTTTTTAATTGTCAGCAGTAATAGTGATTTTCACTACAATATTCCCCTAACTTTTTTACCTCCTGCTACGTTAATATTCAAGTTAGTCTACGGATCCAATTCAGAAGGATTTCACTTACTTCACTAACTCATTAAAAATTATCATGAATAAGAACTTCCATATCAGACCCTGTAAAGCTGGGGATCCCATGGTGCAGACCATCATTTTTCCTCTTTTTTGTAAATGCAACCATCATGAAAGAACTAGTTGACAGTTGAGTGCTCAGGGGACTGTCAGCAAGTCAGCCCAGAAGAGCCTTCCCCACAGATGTCAGCGAATCGTTGCTCAGGGAGCCCTAAAGCTGTAAATTCCAGCTGCTGAGCAGTTCTCAGCAAATTGATACGACAGCAGGATGTTTGCTCTAGAACTGCCATGTTGCCATCACCTGGCGAATCTCCATCTTCTAAGAAAAGCAGGAGGTGAACAACAATCTCGCTTATCAACAGAGAATCACCCAGAAGCAACAGAACGGCATAAATTTTGCTAGGTGGTCCTTAAAGTCTGATGGTTCGTCATTTAAGTAGCATTACACAAAAACATTTTGCAAAGCTCTGGTATTTAGTAAGCTTGAAACTCTCACCTTCTATAGGGTCACCAAAGAATTCGTTATCATGAATAGAAATAAGAGAATGACTAAACAAAGAACTAAAAAGGTAAAAGAGAGGAATAATTCGACTAGAGTCTTCTAAAGACATTGGAGAGCCTCTTGAAATCACTTGAAGCAGCGGCACCATTGACCTTAAAATATAAAATACAAAATAAGACGTCATTAAATATTCACTTTTTTAAAAAGTTTTTAACTTCAGCATTCTAGTAAAAATATTTACTAGTAGTTATAAAACAAAATAAGGACTACTCTCTCAGTTTAATAATGACTGTGTCCTCTTCCTGCAAAAAAAGTTACTCTTTATAGGTTCTTGCCACTGTAGTATCTCAGTGTCTCGAGATGCAGCAGCTTATATATAACTTCGGTGTTAACTCTAGTACAGATTGTAGATTTGTTCTGGTTTAGAGCGCACACCTGAAGCAAAGACAGATTAATTAATCTCCATGTTAGCACAGAACAGATCTGTAGGTTTAATGCCTCAATTCCTAGGAGAACGTTTCTACTCCCACTAACTTCTGAACTAATCAAAGTGCTCAACACGAGATAAAATTGAAGGACTTGGGATTTTCAGTGTTTATTGTACTGATTCTAGCAATCAATCCAGAAACTACAAGACACTGGTATTATTTAAAAAAAAAAGTTTTAATTTGAAACCTATAATTATTTACAGTAGGCCAGTTCCTGAGATTTTGCTCCATTTTATAAAATCATAGTCTAAGTAAAGAAGAAACCAAGTAAAACATTACAGTTTTGTTTTCAATCATTTTCTGTTACCATCACCATACCATCAATTGTCTCGTTCTCTTTTCACCAGATATGCTCTACTGTAATAATTTAATTTTAATATTTTCTAGTTTCAGAAATGGTATAATACATACCCTGTAATCATTCGTGTAGTCATTGAAGATATCAAATACCAAAGATGCCTCAAGAATCTGGCATTAAAGGCTAAACTGTAAAGAAGCCTGAAAGAGAAAGACCAAATACATTGTATCTGCCAAAATAGCGCATCCACAAAACACAGTACTTCTACAAGAACTTTTCTGCCACAAATTTCTCATATAACATGAACAATTCAAATTTAGTTTGTCAAGATAGGAGTTCTTGTTCTAATAAAATGTGATGAAAATCTCAAATTCGAAAAAGTAACACATAAATCCTTACCGTTAATACACAGTTTCATTAACTTAGCAACAAGCCCCATGATATAGACCTAAGTCTGCATTATACCACAAAGTTAAACACACATTAAATAAATCGAACATACTTTAAACTCCGAGTTATTTTTCTGGGAATTTTTTTTAATTTTGACATAGCAAACCAATCTAACTAACAGGTCACTTCTGTGGCTCGTCTGACATTAATAAACACAATAATCTTAGCTGAAAGTAGATTAACTACCTTAAAATTAATTTATTCTAGAAGCAATTATTTTTTAACGTAGCCATTTCACTGGCACATTCCAAGCGTCAGATATTAATACAACAACTCGGCAGGACAACGTCTGCCCTGATAACTGCAGTTCTCTCCTTGATGTCACGATCACTGCCCATACGTACACACACATTAATCCACCAGAAGACAGAAAACGGCTTATACCATATACGTAAAAATACACACGCAGCTTCACAAACCACTTATACACAGAGGCAACTTTAACTGTACTATTTCAGACATGATTAAGGGAGCTTTTTACGGAAGTGAGAAATTAAAAGGTTCCTACAATTAAAAGATCTCCCCCAAACTTTTTTTTCCCCTGAAGGAAGCAAGATATGTAACAAACGTCATTTAAAATGCTTCATGTCTTCTAGAAAAGCGAACAGTCCTCATTT